CCAAAAAATCGTCATGACATCATAAAGTGGCCAAAATCTGATCAGCTCATTTTCAGACAGGTTTTTATATAAGTGAGCGAATCTTTTTTCCTGAAACATTCAGAATCTCTTTACACAGAGGGGACACATGTTTATGTATAAAATACATGAACAAGTGGATTTTGCATAATAGGTGACCTTTAACTGGTGGATAGAGTTGCTGCTGGGGGGTTGAGATCAAGCCCCCAGGAAGTGCGCCGGACTCAGATGAAAATATTCGTGCTGGCCAAACGGCGGTACTACACTTCCGTTTGGTTGTCAGGCCCGGAAACACTTTTTCCCATTGACTTACATGGGGAAAGAGTGGTCTGTAAATCGTTGGATAATTTTTTTTAAACTAAATAAACTACCCAGTATGAACACGTGTATAGCCCTTATTAAAAACATTCGTTCCTCAAGTTGTAATAATGTGCTAATAACGTTATTCTGAGAGTTATTTCCCTCTGCATTATGAACGCGCATCTAACCCACGGGACCGCGCCGCCCGGCACGTTCATGTTACGTGTCCCGACCAATCAGAGCACACTGTGCTCACAGGAAGGGTGGGGGCTGGAGCTATTGGAGCTACAACGAGCCGTTAAAGGCAGAGAGTGAAATTCAGTGAATACAATACACGTAGTTTACAGAGATGCTGTTTGAGAAACCAATGTGAGTTGCGTTTATCTTTACCCATGGATGCACAATAAGAACGGACCCATATCGTCTTACTGCCACCCCACGGAGCTGTAATAATGGATATATTTGCTATAATTCATTATCATACTACATGGGCTGTATGATTAAATCTTGCACCGTAAATGTTGTATTAAATAAAGTTAATATTTCTTATTATATATATATATATATATATATATATATATACAGTGCAATCATTATTTCATGCTAAATGAAGCTCTGTTGCTTGGATATCACTAGACCCTGTTACAGCATAATATAAGTACATAACGATTGATGTGTACATTAGCATAATGACTAGCTAGCCGCTAGCTGCTAACTGCCACCTCGTTAATATCAAATCCATCATAATAACAAATCATTACCATGCTGTCATGAACGTGCGGTGCTGTTACGTGTACGCAAATTTACGTGCTTGATGTGCATTTTGGTTAAAGTTGCGCATGCGCTATGAGCGCACATACGGGTACTTCTCAGGCATGCCGGGTAATCTGTGACGTTTCGCTCTCTCAAAAGTTGGGCAATTTTATCATCATGCGCCAATGAGCAACTCTCATAGGAATGAATGAGGCCCCGCCTCCCACGCTTTATCCAGTTCTTATTATACATCCATGGTTGAGATGCACAGGGTGCAGAGGAGACACTGCACACAGCTGATTGACAGAAACACAAACCACAAAATAAATAAAATGAATTATAAACAAAGCCCCAACTGTTTGTGCAAACCCAGCTTGATTACACTTATACTATCATTTCTTAAAAGGGAAGGACATTACGTCACCCTGATGATGTTTAAAACCCGGATTAGGGTCCTCTCGGGCATAGGCGGCGCGTGAGGCTCAGGTTTGGGAAGTGTTACGTTCCCTATTGGGCTAGGGGGACCAAAGGGACATGACACGACCAGATTGGAATTGGTATGTGTTACCGGTGATTTATTTGTAACCAAAACAATGAACACAATAATATATACGAACAGCCTGGACCAACAACGGACCAAACTGTTACGATTTAACAAAAGGAGAACTCCAAAAGAGAGTTGCACAATATGATACAAAAGAAAGAAAGTACCTCACTTCTAAAGTGGAACAAAACACTAAACAAAATGAGGCAGTGTGGGAACACAGCGGTGGCTGGTCAACAGGTGCTAATCACCTGGGTCTAAGCAATACTTCCACAAATGCTGATCTACAGGCGCTAAGCTAACCTGGGTCTAAGCTGTTTCACAATGTCCAGAATCCTAAATGCTGTTCTACAGGAGCTAAGCAACCTGGATCTAAGCAATACACACACACAAACCCTATACTAAACACAGAACACTACGACACACTGCTAATCAGTGTGCTCGCACAGAAACCCTACTGAACACACTGCTAGGCAGTCTAACGAGGCACAGAATACACACGGCTAGGAAGTCTAAGGAATCACAGAAGATGGCAGTATCACAATGAGAGGCTTGAGGCGTCTGTCACACAATACAGAGCCTCCAGAATGATGTCCGTGCCCGGCCTTTGTACTCCTCCCACGGATGACGTGGCAGAAGCGGGCGGGTTCGGGACGGCCAATGACAGCAGAGGAACTGCACAGCTCATTTACATATGCACACACAAACAGAGTTAATGGCATAACGAAAGTAGCGGCTGTAACACCCCCCCTCCCTTAAGACACAAACCCCACAGGGTTTTTGTGAACCATAACACACACTACCCAATGAACACATCACTACAGTCTGGACAGGGCATCCGCAAACACGTTCTCTGAACCTTTCTTATGGCGGATTTGCAGGTTGTAGTCCTGGACGATCAGAGCCCACCGCATGAGACACTGGTTGTGATTATACATGCGGGACAAGAAGACAATGGGGTTGTGATCAGTAAACACTGCAACTGGCAAAGAACTGGACCCGACATAAACCTCAAAGTGCTGGAGAGCTAACAACAAAGCAAGGGTCTCCTTTTCAATGGTAGAGTAGCGGACCTGGTGTTTGTTGAACTTGCGGGAGAAATAACAGACAGGATGATCAACTCCATCCGCATCCTCCTGCAGTAAAACAGCACCGGCCCCCACTGCACTGGCATCCACCTCGAGTTTAAAGGGTTTAGCAAGATCGGGAGCAGCGAGCACAGGAGCGTGACTTAAGAGTGTCTTTACACACTCAAATGCATGTTGGCACTCAGGGGTCCAAACGTAGTCCACCTTGGGACTTATCAAATTAGTTAGGGGTTGGGCTACAGTGGAAAAGTTGCGGCAGAAACTGCGGTAGTAGCCTGCCATACCGAGAAAACGGCGGAGGTCACTCCTGGTGACGGGCACCGCACATTCAGCCACCGCAGTAACCTTAGCTTCCACTGGTCTGACTTGGCCTTGCCCAACCTGCTTCCCTAAAAAGGTGACAGTAGCTTTACCAAACTCACATTTGGCCAGATTCAAAGTAAGCGACGCCTGTGCGAGCCGGGTGAATACCTGCCCCAGGATCTTCATGTGCATCTCCCACATGGGCGTATACACAATAAATTCATCCAGATACGCGTTACAATTACTTATCCCTGATAGGACGGTGTTCACCAATCTCTGGAACGTAGCAGGAGCATTACACATACCAAACGCCATGACTGTGTACTGCAGAAAACAGTCAGGCGTAGCGAAAGCGGAGATTTTTGAGGCACGGTCCGTTAAAGGTACCTGCCAGTAACCTTTAAGCAGGTCCAATTTACTGACGTATCTAGCGGAACCTAAGTTGTCGATGCAATCCTCCATTCTCGGCAATGGGTAGCAATCGGTCACCGTAACAGCGTTCACTTTACGGTAGTCCGTGATAAAGCGCGATACAAGGTATTCAGCCTCCTGTTTCATAAGCGCGCGCTTGGTCGGATTGGCACGGTACGGATGTTGTTTAATCGTCCTCTCGCCTTTTACATCGATGTCATGCGTTATCACATTAGTTTGTGTCGGGACATCATGGAAAAGGCTCGGGAAACGATCCACCAACTGGGTTATGTCCTGCTGCTGCCCCTCCTGCAGATGACCTAACGTAGTTGGCAATGTCTTTACCATCTCCGAGTTACATAACCGAGCACCCGGCTGGTGATGTGAACGCATCACCAAACCGTCGTCAGATGGGCTGGAACTATCTGTAACTATTAATGCGGAAGCAGCTACTCTTTGATTAGCCAAGCCGGCCGGCGGACTATCAGTGGCAGTGCGTGAATAATAACGCTTCAACATGTTCACATGACAGACGCGCGTTTTTCGTCGTCTCTCTGGAGTACCAATCACGTAATCTGTGTCACTGAGACAATCACGGATTTCGTACGGGCCGAGGAATTTTGCTGAGAGCGCAGCGCCGGGGATAGGCAAGAGTGCGAGGACCTTGTCACCTATTTCAAAGTGCCTAGGGACAGCGGCACGGTCATAATTACGCTTCATGACAGCTTGTGAAGCGGATAGCGACTCTCTAGCGAGTGAATTTGCTCGGTGCAAACGCTCACGAAACTGACTAACGTAATCCAATACGTTCTTATCTGGAGGAGTATCAGCCGAAAGAAACTCATCGTGTAGGATTTTAAGTGGGCCGCGGGGCGTATGACCGAAAACGAGCTCCGCGGGATTGAATCCTAATGACTCCTGAACAACTTCACGGGCTGCGAACAAAACGAAGGGAATTCCCTCATCCCAATTTGTTTCTGTTTCCATACAGTATTTTCGCAGCATGCTTTTTAAAGTCTGATGCCACCGTTCTAACGCCCCCTGCGACTCGGGATGATACGCACTGGATATGACATGTTTTACATGTAAGATTTGAAGAACCTGTTTGAACAACTTCGATTTAAAGTTTGTCCCTTGGTCACTCTGAATTACTCGCGGAATTCCAAATGTGGAAAAGAACTTCGTCAAGGCCTTAACTACAGCTGCGGAAGTAATGCTACGCAGCGGAATAGCTTCCGGGAAATGCGTGGATGTACACATAATGGTGAGTAAATACTGTTGACCTGTTTTCGTACGTGGTAAAGGGCCAACACAGTCTATCAACACCTGGTCAAAGGGCTCACCTATAGCCGGGATGGGATGTAACGGAGCTTGCGGAATTTTCTGGTCACGCCCAAGTGTCCTGACCATTGGCTTTCATGCGCTACAGATAGTACATGTTGGCGGTATGGCGCCGGCACGACTACCTGATGCACTACACTCCAGTCAGCTTCCGCAGTAGCAGTGAGGGACCATTGGCGCACTAATATCTCCTTATCTAACACATAAGCTACCTTCTCACCCCTTGCTTTGTTATCACTCACCACCTGCTCGAAACACTTCGCAAGCGTCGGATCCGCCCTCTGCGCGGCGAGTAAACACTCTCGGGTTACCGGGAGTGTGGAACCGTCAACAGCTGGGCTGGCAGGTTGCGCTGGCGCAGCGGTCACAGCAGGGAAAGCGGAAACCGCCACTTCTGGCTTTTCCTCCGGTATTTTGTCATCTGTAAGCAATGTCCCAAACATAGTATCATTTAAGGACACATCCGAGTCACTCTTATGCACCTGCGCGCGAGTGACAGCACAAATGGGGAAAATGTGGGCATTTGTCACCTCAGGCAACACATTCTGAGGGGAATCCAATATTTCAAGTGCAGGAGTTACCTTACCTCCTGCGATGTCATTTCCCATTAAGAGAACTATACCCCGTATGGGTAATGCTGGGCACACAGCAACAGGGAAAAATCCAGTAATTAACTTAGATTGTATATGTACATTGTGTACGGGACGGGGCACGTAACCCATTTCAATGCCACATAATAGTGATCCATACCCACACGCTGATTGGTCTGAGAATGGCAGGGCCGAGGCCACAATCACTGACTGTGAACCTCCAGTGTCTCCTAGGATGCGGACGGGTCTCTGATCGTCTGACTCACCTGTTAATGATATCAACCCCTCGAACACAAAAGGCTTAAAACAGGGATCTATTTCCTCCTCATTGTCAGATGCGGAAATACTGAGTGAGTTGGTGTTAATTAAGCCGATGCCTTTCGGCCTGGTCATGTTTGGTGGCTGCTCCTTCTGCTTAAGGATCATGCAGTTAGCAATAACATGTCCAGGCTGATGACAATAGTGACATTCTCTCTCCTCTTTATTCCTCGTAAATACTCTCGCTGGCTGACCAACAGGTGCACCGGGCATACGGCGATAGTTCTCAGCAACAGCTGGAGAAAACACAGTTTTATGCGTTAGCACATATTCATCTGCCAGTACAGCAGCTGCGGAGAGAGACTGTACTTTCTGTTCATTTATATGCCCCACAATACGGTCAGGTAATCCCTTCTTAAATTCCTCCATCAGGATTAATTCTTTCAAGGCAGAATACTCTGCAGCGTCACATGAGTCAATCCACTTAGTGAGCAACATCCCCTTCTCCCTGGCAAACTCGACATGTGTTTGATTAGCCCCCTTTCTGTGATTCCTAAACTTCTGCCGATAAGCTTCGGGAACTAGCTCGTACACCCTAAGTATGGCACGCTTTACCAGGTCGTAACTTAGGCTGTCCTCTATTGAAAGAGCAGCAACCGCCTCCTGAGCTCTCCCGTGAAGTTTGCACTGCGCTAACAGAGCCCAGGCCTCAGCCGGCCACTGTAATGCCGCTGCAATGCGCTCAAACGCACCGAAATACGCGTCCACTTCATTCTCCCGGAAAATCGGCACTAACGAAACATTTTTACCTACATTGAAGGCAGGTGGGTGAGAATTACCTGGAGAACTTTCTCCGGCACGGCCAAAAGCACCGGATGCGCGCAGCTCGGATTCTAGCTCCAGCTGACGCACCCGGACTTCCTTCTCGATTTCCAGCACTCTCAGTTATTTGTCTATTTCTAATTTCCTTAATTCCAACTGGAACTGCCTGTCTTGCTCCTTGTCTTTAGAAACCAACTGAAGCCGAGCGAGGCCAACTTGGAGTTTACTCCCCCTCTGGGAATCTGTACTGCCAACAGGGGGAGGGTGGAGATTTTCGAGGCGGCGTGAGCGGTGCTTTACACAACTCGCCCCCCTCGCTGTCACCACTCTTTTCCGGGGTAAACGTAAACTCCTTCTCCAGCCTCTGACTTAATGGGTCTTCAGCTAACACATCAGACACGGGGAGTTTAACTGGTACAGCCGGTACTAATAACTCCCTTTTCACCATCTCATCCACCACTAATGCCTTCAACTCTTTTTTTTAACATTTGCCGACTTACCACAAGACTGAAGTGCCGCCCTATCTCCATCAAATCATCCTTTTTACACCGGTCCAGCTGCTCATAGCACGGCCAGACTAAGAACGCCTCTATGTCGAATGATGCCATACCTGAGTGTACCGCCCACATGTTTGACAAGTTTACAGCTACAAAAAAAAAACACCTATAACCCCAGGAATTTATTTAGAGGTACCGGACGAGCCCCCACGTGTTACGTTCCCTATTGGGCTAGGGCAGGGGTTCTCAAAGTGCGGCCCGCGGGCCAATGGCGACCCTGGGAAATGTTTCTGGCGGCCCGCGATAGTTAATGTGACACGCTGAAATGCATGCGTTATATTTTAATCCTCCATGGTTCGTATCTAGTAATTTAGGTTAACTTCCTGTTTCATTTGCATGCTTTTATTTTGAAGGCGAGATAACGTGTTTGACAGGAAGTTGTGGTGGCATTGGAGACAACTTGACGGATAAAGTAGTGTCTTCTATGTAACGGCAGAGAAAGAGAACAACGGACTGTATGTTTTAAATGTTTAGCACCCCCCGAAGAGGCCACAAGCTCTTACGTTGGGTCTGGAGTTACAAAAAATTCTGATTCATCAGTAAAGTAAAGCCTACGACCATTATTCGGAGGGAAATGCTACACTGTCATTTTTGCTAGATCAAAAGTCGAAAGTTGTTTTGGATGAGTCACTAGTTGACTGGTAAGAAATTATATGAGAAGCCGCTGTGGTGCATCTGATTAAAATGCCAGAGAAGATGTACAGATGGAGCGCTCCATTTCAGACGCCTACCCGTGCGGGTCCGTGATCGGCACGGGGTGGGCCCCTGCTGAAAAGGAAAACCCCCCCGCAGGACTTGAAACGCCCCCTTGATAAATACATTGAATTATAATTAAACCAGCTGCAATGGATAATGGATCCACCAGGGGGAAGCGTGATTAAAAAGCTGCCACACTGGAACTCATGTGAAATAAACAGCTGATCTACACATATCTGATATAGCAGATATTTGTTAAGATCCATATGTCACGGATAGGATCATATTCTGTGCTAAATAAGAGACATGTAATCATTTATTAAACATCCCCATGTTTTTATTTAACAAAATAATGTTTAATTCACGTTGGCGTAAGTCCAAAACCATCGCTATGTTTTTAGATCAGGAAATGCATCCAGGCTCAAACAAACGATTTTCAATCATCATCCTCACGATCATTTAATGTATCATATGTTCGCGAGTTGAAATGAATGCACTAAATTTAATCCACGTGAGTTTACAACAACAAAAATAATCGCTTTGTTTTTACATCACATCCGACCGGAGGAAAATGCAGCACGGGTCTCACTACCGATCATCCTAATCCCACGGGCAAACAATAATATGTACAGTGTTAATAGTTTACTGTATTATTAGTGTCTAATATTACTGGGGATTTCAGAATGGTAGCCTACTGGATTTTGATTTATTGTATCGGCTTCATATCGCAATATATTCCCGAAGTCTGAAATGCAAAAATTTCCCACATTAGGGTAATTCACCCTACATTTAATCATTCATACAAAATCATATTTCGTTTATTTTTAACGAAATAAATGTGGTTTAATCCACATAATTTACTGTGTTAATTGTTTTCTGTAGTATTGTGCACATTACTTTTCGCTGCTTGTTGCACCCCTGGTTAGAAGCTAAACTGCATTTCGTTGTCTCAGTACCTGCAATATGTGCAATAACAATAAAGTTGAATCTAATCTTGAGAAGGAACAAATGTATTTAGGCTACTTAGTACATATCTGACATAAACGATTAAAAACATTTGTGCATTCTTTAAGCCGAGTCCGGAGGTGGCGGCACATTAAAGTGTGCACCTGATTGTTTAACTTGAAGGTGCCTGATGACATTTAATCATTCTAACAAAATCATATTAAGTTTATTTTAACGAAATAAATGTGGTTTAATCCACATAATTTAGGCCTACTGTGTTCATTGTTTAGTATTGTTTAACTTGAAGGTGCCTGATGTGAACATTTCCAGAAGAACTCTAGCTTGAATGGCCTTTGTATGTATACAGTAGGCCTAACATAGGCGGCGCGTGAGGCTCAGGTTTGGGAAGGCTAAATAACTTTTTTTTTCATCTTACGCTGCCCGCCTCCGGCGTCTATAGAAAAGAGATCAACTCAGTGAAAGCACCGCCTGCTGACCGATCAGAGCTCAGTGTGCGGAGTTTAAATCTATCAAGTCATATTACAGGAACAAGGAAATGCAGTTTAAACTGCCGTATGCAGAGAAGACGCCGACGTGTCGCACTTATCATTCATATCACACTGACATCACATCATCAATCAGATCATCGATCTCACATCGATATCACAATATTTCCTTATCTGAGTCAGCTTCTCGAGCCGTATCTGGCCGTGCAACACTTAGTTACATTGTCACATATACTGTATGCAGACGTATTATTTTAAGCAACACATTAAGTTGACGAAACACTCAACTCAAATGTAATAAAGTCAGATCCCCTCGTGTTTTAGATGGGGCAGTATCATAAAACTGTTGTACGCTTTCAAACACTCGGTAGTTTATTTTTTAACGAGTTGTTCTGTATTCTCCTTGCAGGTGCAACTATGTGGCTTGTATCCTGGATTATATGTTTAAGTCATCATGGATGTTTACAATTCATATTTGTCTAATATTAGTTTACTTTTCATTAATGAAGTATGATGTTGCGCTGTCATCACACTTGTGATTGGTCAAATGTAGCTAACCCCGCCCCTTTCACGTGAACGCGTTCTCAGCTGGAGAGAGAAACCCTGGCTTGATTTACCGAGTTGATAACCAGCGCCGTAGGACCGTTTAGCGAGATCGCGTTTGTTAGGGTTAGTTAAGATAACTCAAGCATATCCAGGGTCTGTTGAACTGGCTTCATGGTACAGGGCACAGGTGGCTGCATAGCAGCGCTAATGTCAAAGACATTATATTTTTATTTGACCAGGATGCAGTTACACAAATATTTGGGAAGGCTTACCCCCTAATCGCACCAGGAGCGTCTGCGCCGCGCTGCGACCTCCTCCTGCGTCCTAACCCACCAGGCGCATTTCAAAACGTTGCGGAAGCGGAGCGTCTTGTGTGCAGCCT